AACAAGACTATCTAAATAAAAAAAAAATTTAACCACTTAAAAATTGGTTCATAATTTCGGGCCAAATTATGTTGATTGTTGGTTAACATTATTTTAATGCTGGTCGAATTAAACGATCAACACGGTTGGTTAAATGATTGTGAAAGTTTTATGTGTTGTTCCTATGTATATAATTGAATGCCTTTGAATATTTAAATATATTATCTATTATTTCGGATATGAAAACTTTCATAATTGTTTTTTCACATATTGCATACATTTCCGATATAGCTATTAGACCCGACATATCATTTTCTTTAATAGTCCTGTTTGTCACTAAACCACTCAAGTTCTTAATTGGAAATTTCAATAATTTATAACATTTAGTAATTTGACCGGTTTTTGAGTTTGATACTATTAACCAAAGTGGGAATACGTTTGGGTTTGGTTATTACCTCAAATAAAGTAGAAATCCCGATTCCTCAACCCAAACTACCTAAATGTCATCATTCAAAAAAAGAGTTGGGTCGTAACCCTAATTGTTAAGTTCTTGTCTCTTAACATCTTCGACAGACCATACACCCAATTGATCACGTTCAAACGGCTGAGCCATCGTTCTCAAAAATTTTTTTGCTGTTACCAATGCCATATCCGTCGATAAGTTTGTACAAGCATCCGTGATAAATTGGTTCAACCACCTAGGTAATTTATTACGTTTGTCTGCCCTTGCGAATCTCTTATTAAAAAAATTAGTTATAATTTGTTTTAGTTAAAGAGAATAAAGTTTATAAAATTACCTTATCGGCAAATATCATTAGACCATAATCAGTTTTTCCTCTTAAAACTCTCCCAACGCATTGAGCTGCATGACGCATTGCGTCAAATGTTAAAAAATCACTTTCGCGTATTCTGTAATTTTCCCTCAAAAACTCAAGGCGTGCCTAAATCGTAATTATTAATTAAATGATAGTGCCTAAACCAACGAAAACCTATTACTTACTTTCAGAATCCGACTCTCTGTATATTGATATGGTACACCAAACATAATTACAGCACGTCCATAATTATGATCAAAATCAATGCCTTCCGAAACCTTCCCACGAGCAACTGATAGTAAGATGGCACCGCGTCCGTTGTCACATGCCTAATAATGAAAAAAGGAATAATTAAGAACAAGATAGGTTAATACTTTATTCTAATACTATCAATAATGAATATTATCTCTATTCCTTTTGTAAACCTTTCTGTAATTCTCTAAAGCCAAACTAGTTTCTGCAGCATCTGGTGTTTCAACAAATATTAACTTATGCTTCCATGCTTGATTTAATATACCCTGCATAGCAAAAAGATGTTACCTAGATGCATAAAGTTTTCAATTACATGATAAAAAAAAATTACCATATCGTTCCACATAGCCACTATTGATTCCATGTATAAATAGCTCGGGAAGAATGCAACAATTCCGTCGGGAACAATTTTGGAAAATTCAACGAGAATTTGCCCGAAATTTCGTACTACAGCTGGATCATTACGAACTTCAAATTTAGAACTAATAGCGACTTGATCACTACCTCTAGTTATTACCTATAGAAGTCAAAAATAACAAAGAAAGCATTCATAAGTATTTTAATTGAAACACATATATATAACATACAAGTCACAAACCAATGGCAGGAAACAATTCCTCGTTAAAGTCATTGAATAACTTTCTTGCACAGCTGCCTGAAAGTTTAATATCTTTGGATACATGTCAAGTGGAGATAATGTTCCAGATGTTATAACGACGGTTTTGAATCTCTTAAATACAGGCTTAATAGCTATTGATGCATCGAGGCACCTATTTATAATTCAACGGTAGTAATAATATTATTAAGCTGTTAATAGAAAGACATGTACGCAATTCAAAAGGTTGAGAAGGAAACTAACGCATGATGAAAAATTGGATTTGGAATGGTGTCATTTTCAAAAGGTTCTAAAATTAACATGAAGCCTACAGAATATAAATTATGAGTTCAATTTGAGTAGTTAATTACAAAAAATCACTAATATAAATCTATACCTGTTTCGTAAGTTGCCACAAGGGTTGCAAAAGCTGCGACTTTATGTAACGCATAATAATCATTGAGATCTGACAACTCTAATGTTCGAACTAATGAAGTTAGCCTTTGGCTACAAAACCTGTGAAATTAATTAATAAACTAAATAATGGATAATTTAACTGGTACATTTTCTTAATGTCATAATTATCAAACCTCAAAGGCTGACGTTCAATCAATGTTACTTCTCTGCAGTTTTGGAGGAACGACATTGGCGTCTCAGCGACCACCTGTTGAGCTCGCATTCTAGTCTTCGTTACATATAACAATGTACGTAAATAAATGTATTTTAATAGTCAATCTGTAATTGACAAGTGAAATTACTCACTTTAAGATATTCAATAAAGCGACGCAAGAAAGCTACGAAATGCTCAGCTTGCCGAATATTACCAGGCACAGCCTCGTGAGACAAATCTTCAGGCAAAACTGGATCACAAGTCAGATGTTGGCACTAATTTTAATACACCATCCACAACTATCCTAATTCTCGACAAATAGTACTCCGGATACCTTACATCCTCGGGGCTTAAAAATTAGTATCCCCTGGTTATTATTCAAATTGACTCAATTTGACGGTAGTGAGTATTTTAACAAGGAGTAATATTTGTCAAGAATTACGTCATATGATCCATATAACTCACTAGGATTCGACATATACACATCTTCATCTTGTTCTTGGCCAGCCATTATTAATCCTAGGGCGATTAAAGGAACTTAAATGAACACAATCCAATCATTATGGCATCATTTAAATTTAAATAGCAGACCTTCAACAAGTTTATTATATTCATCAAGTAATTTCTGACTATCTCTTTTTTTGATACTAAAACAAAATTGTATATTAAACGAAAGACAGATATGTGATCCAATTGTATGAGCTGCTCTTGATTAAACGAATGAATGCATACTCTTCAATTCTGTCCCTAAGATTTGCTATACTTTTCGCGCTTGCATCCAAATTTGACTTGGTAATATCAATGCTGAGTGATTCAATACAAACATTATCTGGAAATAAATTAGGACTTGTAAATATTCAATAGGTAAAATACATGTTATAAAATAAATAAGCTGAATTAAATATTAACCTATATTGTGTGCCTCATCAAACACAACAATACAATCTTTAGATAACTCCTTAGAGACTAACTCGGCAACTTTCGGATCTAGTAGATAATGGTAACTATATATTACTGCATTTGCAAAAGGAATCTAAATTCGATTAAAAATAATTTTAAAACTCAATATAAATCGATTGCTTAACAACATATGAAATTCAGAAATACCGTTCTCCTTGCCAAATAATAAGGGCAATATTCGTGTTCTTTGCCATATTCTCGTAGCTCCTCAAGTGTATATACACCATCTGGTATTAATAATTTTTGTTTTTCATTATCATTTTCCAATTGCTATGAAAGAAAATGTTAATGCCCATGAATAAATGAATCTGGATTAACCGATCGACTTACTTCATAGAAATTACACAATGGCACTTCATCAGGTGAAAGTTTTGATTTTTCTCTAACCCATGACGCCGTAAGATTTCGACATCGAGCATCCACCACCTTGCC